GCAGTGTGACACGGTGCTTCATCTTCCTGGATGTGGTAAGAGTCCTTCCTCCAATATTTCGACGTATTTCGCAAAATTTATGTTGCCAACGTACTCCACTAAGCTGGATCTTCCATCAATCCAAACAGCTCCCCAAACCATCCTGCTGAAACCACCATGCTTCACAGTTGGCTGCAATCTGTTGAGCCAAAACTCTTGGTGAGGCATTCTCCAGACCCATATCCTTCCACTGTCCAAAAATTGAGCGAATCTTGATTCGTCTGAGAAGAATACGGTCTTCCAAAAGTCCAGAGGCTTGGTCATCATTTCACTTGCCCACTTCTTTCGTCTGACTATGTTGGCAGATCTTAATAAGGGCTTCTGTCTAGCTGCTCTGCAACGATAACCCAATCTGTGGAGAATCCGTTGAACAGATTTCGAGCTCATCCCACCAACTTTGGCCACTTCTGCAGTCGTTAATCTGGGATCCATTTCGACGCTCCTCTTGACAGCCCTTTTTGTCCTCTCCAATGGACCAGGATGAACCGGACGCTGCTCAGTTGTTTCCTTGCCGTGTTTCCTTAACTGCACAATGATTCTGTTGACTGTCGAAAGCGGGATTCCCAAATTCTGCGAAATTTGCCACTGACTTATTCCACCATCTACTTGACCAGCTATCCTTCCTCTAACAAAATCTGACAATTCGAGAGAACCTTGAGTTCTAGACATGTTGTAGCACAAGATAATTAGTGTGCGGACCATTTTCATTTATATAGTGCTCTGTGAACACAAATTAGTTAGCATAAATCAGTTAAATGACGAAAAATTAAGTGTCTATTTACGTGTGACCACTCAGCGTACATACTAAGTTAGCATCATTTTTTTTAAACCAGCAATACAAATAAATACAACTTACCCATGTCTGTGTATAAAAATCATAAACAATGTTGACCACACAGATACTACAATGATTCCTTCGGAAACATCTAAAGCCCAGTCTGAAGGTGGAAACAAGTCAAAGAAAATGTCAGGTAGAGGAGGGTATTTTGTACGTTCTGGCAATCTTTCATGTACAATTGATAGGCAGGTCAAATTTAAGACTAGGTTTATGAACATGAAAATAAAAGCAACAAAAGTTTTCCATTTTTCTGAAGGAAACTTTCCTTCATTCTTATCAAAGGATGGTACAGTAATCCTAATGTCTTCAGTATCATTTAAATCTCCATTCATATCTCGTCGAATAAGGCCATTACTTAAACAGTCAATCTCCACACTTTTACAAGTACGGCCAGCTTCTTTCATCATTTTTTCAAAATTTTTAAAGTTGAATAAATGTCAGAAGCTTGGAATCTCAGTGCTTTGATAAAATCTTTGACAGCAGACTAACTTTCATAATTTGAAAATAAACACCAATATTACTTTCTGCTGTAAAAAAACATGATCCAGTGGCATCAACTGGATGATCCAGTGGCATCATACTACAAATCATAAAAGGTCAATTTCAAGATACTACAATGAGTTCATGGAAGACATTATTAAGAAAAATCTACATTCTGTACTTTTCTTGTTCATACCTAAAAGAGAAAAATCAAAGTTATGTAAATCAAGGAAAGATTCAAAATTAATGCTAGAAAACTAGTAAATTGGTGGTTAGCATTGAAGTTTTGTTAGCAAAACTTAGAAGACACTAGAAATAATTGCTACTACATGTTTCATAAGGAATATTCACAGATCAATAATGCACAA